AGATAAATGTTCGCTACGCTCACTCGTGAGAGATCTTTTCAACACTCGAAGATAAAATCCGTATCTCCGCGCGCCCATGTAATATCCTCTATATTAGAGATGACAGGAACGTATAAATAACAATCACAACGCAAGTGAAAATTTTGTATAACTTTTATTTGTAAACGTTTTGAAGAGTTTGATTGGGAATTTTTCACTTTTAATGACGTAGTTTGTTTACATCCATGCAAAATATCAAATTCAAAAAATAAGCAATCTGCACTCATATAATTATATTACTGTCAAGAAAACCTGAATATTGTAACGCCTTTTTACATTTCGAAATATCGGTATTTCAAACTGCACTATAGAAAACATTCAGTGGCTGGCAACATTATGCCCAGCACGGTCATTTCTTTAGAAAATCTTRCCAATTCAGCGCTTGATATCTCTTAAAATATTTAACTAGTTGCCTTAAGTTTCAGAAATTGCTAGCAAGTATTTCTTGTGGCCTGAATATTAATTTCTGACTTTTATGCAAATTAGCTAAAACGTAAGCATTACTGTCCACCTCAAAGATTGAAGCTGGATTGTTAGAATGGAAAAACTTTGAAAAACTTTGTAAACATTGAAAAATTTTATCTAGAGAACTTTTATTGAATCCTTTAGAGTTTCAAGGAAAATTGTCCATGATAATTTATAGCTTCATTCAACGTAGCCCGCAGCGCTAAAGTCCTCTCGAAAAACCTTTCCAATTACCGAAAAAAACCCGCCATGTTAGCATAATATTCTTAGTTCTCATTGAAAAAAACCTGTTAAAGAGGATAATTGAAACCTGAATTCAGTCAGAAATGTTTTRTCAAACAAACAATATTTTACATTTTGAGTTTGTAAAAAAAGTATTTGTGCACATTCCGTGACTCTGAATGCGACTTTGATAGATATATATGTTGATATTCATCATAGAAAAAAATTAAAAAAACTTCAATATCAAATCAAATTCACGCAAACCTTTGTAGACCATTACGGTCACCAAAATAAAATTTTCACAAATTTAAGCTGCTATTCTTTCTTTCTATAAGCTTTCCAAATTACKTGAGAGTCTTAGAGTTTACAACATTTGTCCACCCTGGTGTCAGGGTATAGTTTTGTGTATAATAGGCATGAAAACGTTTTAGATCTTTGGCCAGCAGATTATGGCCAAGAGCTATAAAATGTTTGAATTCAATAGTCACGTTTTTGTGTCTTGAATAAATGAATTTAAAACCAGGAATCAAAGTGGCATTGATACCGAGTTCATGAGATATTACAGCAGTGTATGTGTCCTCGGTCTTGAATGGATTTCTAATGTGAAGATAATCTAGATATTTAGGTATGTTCTCACTAGATATCACATAAAAAGGGCCATTGCACCATGGTGGATAAAAGGTTTCGCTGTACTCTTCATACGACAAGTACCATTTTTBCCWAGGATYGCGAATGATAAATTTGTATGTATCTAGTCTAATGTGTCCTCCGTAAAAAGACTTGGGAGATCCAGACTTGACAAGCCATGATATTAATCTTGGAACACGTACATAAACRTCGTCATCAGCCTTCAAAACATACCTTAAATGGAAATTAACTGTAAGTACCGATAATGATAGTGAAGATAACAGTGGCTGCAACCGCTTCACCCAGCCATTTACGAAATTATATAAAATTGCGTWGCTCATCGCCCTTATTGTAGTAGTAGGGCGCAGCTCATCGCGATCTAGTTGGAGGCACGATCTGATACGAATATTAGCCACCAAGTGAGACATCATTTTAAGGTGCACACCATAGATTGACATGGCCAGAAATTCCGGACATTTGAGCCCGGGACGAGTCAGCGGGTTTTCCCACCAAAATAGAGMTTTCTACAAGTTCCCTTGACAAGGTTTGAACTTTTGAAGATCAAATTCTCTACTCTTGTGCAACGATCCTTTATCTTAATACAATACTGGGCTAAAATCGGAACGTTCAAAACACCGACAAACGAGTATTGGGATAGCACGCCTTGATCCTTGAGTTCATTAGTGGCTTGTGAGGTGCTCGTTTGGAATGTTCATAGTGTAAATAATATTATTTGCTGGAACACACGTTTCCCTCAGGTTTTTTAAACAATGATCATCAGTTGATATTGTGATCTTTTGTTTATACTTGTACATTTCTAAGGAATTTAAAAGTTCTGACATTGTTTACACTAAATAGCGTAGACTTGATGTTTCGTTCGTATTTCCCGCTATTTACCACTGCGCGCAAGGCGCCAGTAAAAACCCAGTCTGAAAGCCACGTTTCTAAGGTTTATTTTGGTACCAAACATGGCGWATAAAATGAAAAGAAAATGGAAGATCGAGGCCAATTATTCGCGTGAAACACGAGTCGTCGCCAGCCATTTCACCGTCAAGTTAGTGTTTTCAAATTGTACGATTTCTAGTACCAAAAAGGACGCTGTTTATCGTCTTCAAAATTGCTGAAAATCGCTGTGTTTCTACCTTAATATGTGGACTTTGAGAAATGATCTTTGAAATATCAGTGACATGTAAAGGAACACGGCGATCAGCTACGGTGAAAATCCGCGAAGAAGCGAAATTGAAGCGATGAGATTCAACGGCAAAGGGAGACGACGAAAGGAAAATAAATTGTCAAAAAGGACGTTCTTAACAATATTGGATTTATTTGGATTTCCTACAGTGGAATCAAGAATAGTTTCTCTAGGAATTCATCTTTGAAATCTTTCCAGTTAAAACAGATGAAATGTTATTCTCAAATAATTTTTTTGATCCGTACATTTCTTTGCAAAATWAACAAACATGTTTTTGTGCTTTATGCGAAGTACCGCTGCTATTGCGGGCTCATATGTCCGGATTTTCTGGCCATGTTCGCTTTTACTGAGCAAGAAGAAAGCCGAATGACATGGAGAAAGGCCTCAAAATAAGGGCAGAGAGCGAACAAACTCAAGCCATATATATGATGCCTGTTCAGGACTCGAACAGGGATCATATCGTCGCCAGAACGGTACTATCATCACACAGTCTCAATACAGGATTCGGTCTTTCTTAATACGTTTCAGGCAACAACTGAGTGACCGTTACATCGACACAATTTTTTTTTGCTTGTATGATATGATATAGTGATGATTATACATACCTGCATGACAATCTATTGATAACCCAATAATGACCCATAAATACTTTCATTACAAGGTTTTGGTATTTTTCCGTAAAGTTTCCTATGATCACATCGTTGTATTCGAGTGCCTCTTTCTCGTTCGCTTCATTTTCTTGTTGCTTATCACTGATGGCCAGAGAGAAGAACATCTTCCACTTTGGGGTGTTTTTATCTGATAGTTTTGTATCACCCCACGTTAGACGGATTGTTTTTCGCAAAGTTCTGTGATCTTCACCCTTCGCTGAACTRGTCACCATTACAACTAAATAAAGGATTTGATTTTCGGGAGAAAGTTTTGGCTCAATATGAGGAAAGACGAGCTGAAACCCATTCTTCAATGGTGGCATGGTCTGTGGCGGTCTCTTTGGTAGTGTGCCCGCACTGCTGTTCTTTTCGTTCAACTTATCAAAATGCTCAAATGTTTCTTCTAAAACATTTCTTTTCCTTTTCAATACAAAATAGACGACAAGTACGTATAGGATAGTTCCAAAACAGAAAAATCCGTTCAACACGCGTCTTCTGAACAAAGGCATGATCCTAAGGAATACGAATCACGACTGGCTCTTCCGCACTGAAAGTTTCACTGCTATATATATATGACAGTTCCAAAAATCCCAACAGTTCAACAAGGTTTTCACGATGGATGTTGGCGATGTAGATTTTTAAATCTATATCACATCAGTGAAATGGGAATTGCTAACCATATGGATATATGTTTCGCTGAAGTTCAGTATATGAGAGATCTTCCAGTAAGAATTATTCAGAGCAACATTCACAGTTTATAGTTGCGATGTTTGCATAATATTTCTCTTCAAGATACACGACCTGCTGGACTTATTGTACAAGCGGTCGCTGACAGCGGTCGCCGGCTGTAAATATCATTCACATAACTGAATCAAGTTCAGGCTTGGCAGCACTTACTGTTCTTGCTGCAATGCAAGTAGAAAGTAAGTAGAACTACAAGTACAATTAACATTGGTCATCACTCGACGAATTTCACTAAAGATGTGTTGAAAGGATAATATAAACTCACAAAACGTTAACGGGGGGTCCCCATTATTAATTATTGAACTCTACTCTACCAAAACATCAGATGAGAAAGTTCGATTCTCTCAAAAAAGCTAAAGAAATTACCATTTCATCTCGTAATATATTTAACAGTAATTTCGCTTAAGGTGAAGTGATTATCGGTGAATATTCACCGAGACTGAGACGATTAATTGTTTAGTATAATGTTTGAGTTGAATTTCAAAAAAAAGTCGACTAAAATAATAACAATAATCTTACTTTTATGCAAATTACCTAAATAAAAGATTGAAGTTGTTCCGGCACTGGATCGTTTGAATCAAAATAACATTGGAAAACTTTATGTAGAGAACTTTTATTGAATCCTTTAGAAGTTCAAGGAAAATTGCCCATGTTATTCATAGCTTCATTCATATCGTCAATTCCGGGCCAACGTAGCCCGCAGCGCTAAAGTCCTCTCGAAGAACCTTTCCAATTAACGAAAAAAACCCGCCATGTTAGCATAATATTCTTAGTTCTCATTCAAAACAAAAACAAAACAAAAACTGTTAAAGAGGATTATTGAAACCTGAATTCAGTCAGAAATGTTTACCACGCAAACAATATTTCACATTTTGAGTTTGAACAATAAACATACCAAAGTATTTGTGCATTCTGTGAATCTGAATGCGACTTAGTTTGTCAAATATGGTTGATACTGATGTTGATACTCATCATAGAATAAATTAATATAAAAATTAGGTAACACCTAATAGCGGAGCTCCAGTGGCAACACAGAAAAGCCCGAATACAAGCAATTAGATTTAAGATAGACAAGGCAAAGGATCGATAATTGAACCGGAATTACTCGAACTACTGTACGTAATAAGTAGACGAGTATCCCTGGCAACGAGGTTGGCGCCGATAGCATATACATTTTAAAAGCGTKCGCATTCGTACTTTTAAGCCTCTCAAGCAATAGTTGGTCGTCCTATTAAAACGCTTGACGAAAGTGAATTGTTTTTCATCTTCGCAAATCGATTTCCCGGATGTGCAGACGCGTCGTAGTTTGACAAAATTGGCGGGAAAATATGCTTTGATTTCGCTCTCCTCTGGATTTTTTTTCTTGTGATTACTTTTTCTAATATTATCAATTTGGAAGATAAGTGTTCGAGAAAAAAATATTTTGGCGCTTTTGCAGTATGGATTTCCTTTGGTCATACATGGACGGAAGGAGGGAAGGAGTACGGAAACGTGCGTACGCGCGGGAACTCTGTGTTGGTCCACCAAAAATCGACTCAATGGATAAACCATTTTTTCTTAGCTGTGGTGCTCCGCTCGCACGGCCTTTGGGCCCGCACAGGAGCTCCGCTAAAAAAACTTCAATATTAAATCAACTTCACGCAAACCTTTGTAGATAATTACGGCCACCAAAATAAAATTTTCACAAATTTAAGCTGCTATTCTTTCTTTCTATAAGCTTTCCAAATTACTTGAGAGTCTTGGAGAAACAACATTTGTCCACCCTGGTGTCAGGGTATAGTTTTGTGTATAATAGRCATGAAAACGTTTTAGATCTTTGGTCAGCAGATTATGGCCAAGAGCTGTAAAATGTTTGAATTCGATAGTAAAGTTTTTGGGTCTTCCAATGAATTTAAAACCAGGAATCAAAGTGGCATTGATACCAAATCTATATGATATATAAAGTTCAATCAGTTTGCGTAGAGCTCCTAGAGAAAAAGACCTAGAGGAAGATTGGGAGTGGGTCTAGTAGTTATTTGAACTCTTAATTGAAGAGGATTAGAAAATATTTTAGTATACTGTTAAGACCCCRCTCATATGATAAATAAATAACGAGMGGTTTCCTAGAAACTCATTTTCAAGGTTCATTTTACTAAGTCTAGAAAGTAGGTGCAGAGGTGCGTACATTCCATATTTACAGATAACACGTTTCCGCTGTAAAGGCTGCTGACATTCTCGCTGTACCTACACATTAGTCAAGTTATTCCGTACATAATAGTCATAATAGCTTTTTAGATCAATAGCCAGCAACCTATGGCCAAGAGTCATGAACTCGTTGAGTTCAGAAGACGAATACTTACGTCTGCCAAAAATAATTTGAAAACCAGGTATGAAAGTGGCACTGATACCGAGTTCATGAGATATTACAGCAGTGTATGTGTCCTCGGTCTTGAATGGATTTCTAATGTGAAGATAATCGAGATATTTAGGTATATTATCASTAGATATCACATAAAAAGGGCCGCGGCACCAACGTGGGTAATAAGTTTCGTTGTACTCTTCGTACGACACGTACCATGGACTGTTAGGGTCACGAATGATACCTTTGTATCCATCGTTTTCCAAACTAATGTATCCACCATAAAAAGACGTTGGAGATCCAGATCTTACAAGCCATGATATTAATCTTGGAACACGTACATAAACATCGTCATCAGCCTTTAAAACATACCTTAAATGGAAATTAACTGTAAGTATTGCACTGTACTCAACCCCTACACTGATAAAAAGTCACAGTGACAGTTACGCTGACAAGCAGGGACTAGTACTGTAGTACAGTGGCAGATTAGACAAGCTCCGCCCCCAAGTCACAGTTGAAAACCTAAATCCCAACTATATAACTATTTCCTTTGAACATTGAAGTCGCGATGCAACGGTTTCTGCTGTAAAAGTTGTAAATTTGATGTAAATATGATCATGGCCAGAAATTCCGGACATTTGAGTCAGTGGGACGAGTCAGCGGGTTTTCCCACCAAAATAGAGCTTTCTACAAGTTCCCTTGACAAGGTTTGAACTTTTGAAGATCAAATTTTCTACTCTTGTGCAACGATCCTTTATCTTAATACAATACTGGGTTAAAATCGAAACGTTCAAAACATCGACAMACGAGTATTGGGATAGCACGCCCTGATCCTTGAGTTCATAGTGGCTTGTGAGGTGCCCGTTTGGAATGTTCATAGTGTAAATAATATTATTTGCTGGAACACACGTTTGCCTCACGTATTTTAAACAATGATCATCATTTGATATTGTGATCTTTTGTTTATACTTGTACATTTCTAAGGAATTTAAATACTGGGTTAAAAAGGTCTGACATTGTTGACACTAAATAGGGTAGACTTGATTGGTCTATCTTTCGTTCGTATTTCACGCTATCACTGGAAAAAATCGCGCGCTTTAAAGGTTGTAAATTTGATGTAAATATGATGTAATTGTCCAAAATTCTGTAAATTTGATGTAGATGATTTCCATTAAATTTACAGAATTTTGGACACTTACATCATATTTACATCAAATTTACAACCTTTAAAGCGCGCGATTTTTTCCAGTGTATTTACCACTGCGCGCAAGGAGCCAGTAAAAACTGCCAAAATTAAAGCAGTCCCAGTCTGAAAGCCACGTTTCTAAGGTTTATTTTGGTACCAAGCATGGCGAATAAAATGGAAAGAAAATGGAAGATCGAGGCCAATTATTCGCGTGAAACACGAGTCGTCGCCAGCCATTTCACCGTCAAGTTAGTGTTCTCAAACTGTACGATTTCTAGTAGAAAAAAGGACRCTGTCTATCGTCTTCTGAAAATCGCTGTGTTTCTAGCTCAATGTGTGGAMTTTGAGAAATGATCTTTGAAAAATCAATGACATRTAAGGAAACACGATCAGCTACGGTGAAATTTCGCTTCTTCGCAAATTTTCATCATGAAATACAAGGGCAAAGGAGACGACGAAAGGAAAAGAAAATTGTCAAAAAGGACGCTCTTAACAATATTTGATTTATTTGAATTTCCTACAATGGAATCAAGAATAGTTTCCCTCTAGGATTTCATCTTGGAAAACGTTCCAGGTAAAACAGATCAAAAGTTATTCTCAAATAGTTTTTTTGATCCGTACATTTCTTTGCAAAATTTAACAAACATGTTTTTGTGCTTTATGCGAAGTACCGCTGCGATTGCGGGCTCATATGTCCGGATTTTCTGGCCATGGTGAGTGTCAAAAATTCTGTAAATTTGATGTAAATGATTTCCATTAAATTTACAGAATTTTGGACACTTACATCATATTTATTTCAAATTTACAACCTTCAAAGCGCGCGATTKTTTCCAGTGTAGAACGATCTGCGAGACAAGTTGGTTTGGCGGTAGTTAGTAATACGCACAACATCGCTTTTCCACTTGTTTTGCAGCAATGTTGCGTGACAATTTGGACGATTTTGCTGCTCGCATTACCGTATTGCTCGTATCTGTTTCTCCATATAGATCACACCCTTTACACAAGATTCTAATTTATACAACTTTTCAGTAAAATCAAACGTTTTGATTGGTTGGCTTTCGTGTGTTATCAAAGTATAGATACACGGATTACGTCAAAACTAATTGTTTGTTGTATAAAACAGATAGATCTCATTTTTCCGTGCGTGTGTACTCTAATAGATACACAGATGACATCAAAATGTAGTGAGAACAACAGTCACGCACTCGACTGCGTCTCGTGCGTACTTTTTTGTTCTCAATACATTTTGACGTCATCTGTGTATCTATTAGAGTACACACGCACGGAAAAATGAGATCTATTTGTTAAATAGTTATAATACGAATACATAAGACAGCAACGCACTGTGTAGGAATGATGAAACATACCTGCACGACAATCTATTGATAACCCAATAATGACCCATAAATACTTTCATTACAAGGTTTAGGTATTTTTCTGTAAAGTTTCCTATGATCACATCATTGTATTCGAGTGCCTCTTTCTCGTTCGCTTCATTATCTTGTTGATTATCACTGATGGCCAGAGAGAAGAACATCTTCCACTTTTTTGTCATGTCCATATTTAATAACTTTGTATCGCCCCACGTTTGACGGATTGTTTTTCGCAAAATTCTGTGATCTTCGCCCTTCGCTGAACTGGTCACCATTACAACTAGATAAAGGATTTGATCTTCAGGATRAAGTTTTGGTTCAATATGAGGAAAGACGAGCTGAAACCCATTCTTCAGTGGTGGCATGGTCTGTGGCTTCTTAGTTGGGGAGGCGTCAGTGCCAGATTCGTTGTCCTTCAACTTTCCATAATTTTCAAAATTTTGTTTTATAACAATCGTTTTCACTACCAGATAAATGGCAAATGTGTAGAGAATAGCAATATAACTTAACCGTTTTCCGGTCAAACTACGTCTCACGAGCAAAGTGCAAGAAGACATAATCTATTGGCTTTCATTGATAGACGATGCACTGCTCTAAGACAGTAATTATAAGAAAGAAATTCCATTGTTGGCTGCCAACATAGAGCCACCCGAAACGTAATTACATCCATTAGCTCAAAGAACTTCACAAGACCAGTTAACAGTGGCGAAAGTTAAAAATTTAAAAATGCTTGTATGATAAAACCCGTCGTGAAACTAAAATGTTGACTTGATCTATTGAAGTTTTAAGGTTGACTAAGGCGATTGCTCAGGAAAATCCTAGCCTACCTCAAAAATAACCGGTTTATCGGGTTTTGATGAAAGACCTTGTTCAAGCGAAGGGTTTGTACCGCTGGATTGATTTTATCTGAAATTTATCTAAAGATCATGTCGCGTATTTATAATCGGTCGGAGTGTTTTCGAACTAATGTTCTGACTTTCYACAAGGATAAAATATTATGATAAATAAAGTATTATGATGGTATTTATATGATATTTTGCATCACAATAGTGCGATTTGTGCACTCTTATCTTGTCTTGGATAGTATTAATTAAGGAATAAAAGACGAAATTCCGTGTTTGATACTCTGATCAAAACACGCGGGATGTAGGGAGAGCACGAGAGAAGCGTAGGAAACCACGACGCGTAGCGGAGTGGTTTCCAGCTTTTCGAGTGCTCTCCCTACATCCCAAGTGTTTTGATCAGAGTATCAAACACGGAATTTCGTCTTTTATTTCTTTTCTAAAATTAAAAGAATAAAAGAAATTTTTGACGCGCACGAGCGTGTTTTGATACTGTAATCAAACATGGTTTTCGACCAATCACAGCGCGCGTAGTATCCTAAGTATTTTAGAACTTATAATAAAGCGCGAAGTCAGCTAAATAACCTATCCTTATTCCAGCCATAGTTTGTAGAGAAAAATGGTATTCCCCTCTATCAATTATGCTCCAGCTTAAGCCCAAAAATATGCACTTCTGATAACTTTGTAGTGTTTCAGAAAAGAAAAACAGCCAAAAATTAGTATTTATAGACCAATTAGTTGAAATCCGTTAGCGAACAGGTGGTGGAGTGCGGAACCGGTTGTTGATAAACCATTTGTTAGTTCACGTTGATCACAGCTGATTTCGACAAACTTTCTTAACCTGTAAAAATGGTTTAGTTTGTCTTGTCTTTTGCAATGTTAACTTGTGCGTAACCTTCTGCTTATATCAGGATTATAATTCTCGCGCTTGACTTCATTCCTTTGCCTTTTCTATTTTGCTCTCAACTTGTGTGTTTGTATTTGCGTTGCTGGAATGAACAATTCACATTAACCTTGTCCCTCTACCGGTTTTTCTTATTTCTTTCATTCACTATTTCCTTTTTTTCTATGTCATCTTGTTTTTCTGTTTTTGAAGCATAAGATAAATATAAAAGATTTTATTAAAATATGTCTATCCAATYAAGGACTAATAAATTACAATGTACAATTAGGACTATAGTTTATATTCAATCAAAAATTCATAAAATATATTTGACTATATATAATAATAAATAAGAGTAAACATTACATATTTTCGTTAAAATTTGAAGAAAAATAGCGTCATTGACGTCAAAATTTGTTTTCTTTAGTAATGTCCTTAAACCCCTTATGCATAGAATAGCAGATCGCAATAGAGCGGATTTCGTATGAGTGGGAAACGGACGGTACTGTACTGTGACCGTAATCGTACTGTAACCAAATTCTAGTGCCCCATTGGTTCACCAAAATTGCGCAGGCCRGGTGCGGTAACTGTGCGGTAACCGTGCGGTAACGGTGTCCCACTCATACGAAATCCGCTCTAGATTAAATGACAGTTTAGTAATAAGCCAAGGGATGACAATGCTGTAGCACATTCGTTCYTTCTCAGACACCTTTTGCGTTAGTTCAGTTCGTTCTGCTTCTCTTCCAGCTTCTTCCGCATCCACCATAAGGTGAAAGCACGAGCGGGCTGAAGGAACCGTGCTCAACTTCAATGACTCGTTGGTTATAGTGTCTCTTCTTCTCYTTCTCGTTSGAYGTAAATGCCGTTTCAAGCTTTTGGTTAAGGTGGCTCTTTGCGAATGGGTTAAAACCCTTACGTCAAAAAATGCGCGTTGACTCCTTTGCCAAAATCCTCGTTCGCTGACATCACTAGACGCGCTTCATCAGATGAGTTAGTACTTCCACTCAAGGCTTCTCCAGATATAGCTTGTAAAGGTGGTTATATCTCGACACCATGACAGACATCCTGAAGTAGTGATGTAGAGAAATCTCCCTCGGATGTAGGGATCCTGCCACGTCATTATGAAATACAATCGTGGATTATGCAAGCCTGTTTACAGATCTAGATTATACCTCACCTGTAAACAGACTTGCATAATCCCCGATTATACTTCGAAACACTCGTCAATTTAACTATGCATGTTTAAAGCCTTCATATGTAATTGTACCTAAGAGGCACAAGATTGCCCTTCCCGTGGAAGTATCACAGTGTGGTCGATAATAAAATTTAATAAAGGTGTTTTCCTCTGACCAATCAGTAAATTGTAAAATGTCTTGAACAGAGGATTCCGTTGCAACCGTCCCACGGATTTAGTGTCTCTTAAAAATGCTAGTGTCAATGCGTGACAAATGCATGAGTTCTCTCAACCATCTGGCTAGGTTTGCAGAAGTAACAGGTTTGTGGGGTTTAACGTATGAAAGGAATAACTTATTAGGTTGGTTGGAGTCAGATGGACACCACCCTTGAGTTCTAGATTCATATTCCTAAAGGCATGTGCACACAAATAGGAGTCGTTATTAGGGTAACTGGCATGGAAACATGTTTTGGGGTCTGTTGATAGAAGCCACCCAGCTAGTTGGAGCTGTTCTAGGGGGTGTGGTTCGGTTCCCTGAGTTAGAAGCTCTGGGTTGGAAATAGGAGAGGGTAGTCTATAYAAAGATCTAATAGAAGTGGATGCCATGGTTGGGCTGTCCATACTGGAGCTACTAGTACGAGGTAAGGTACATTCTGCCTCCGAATTTGTTGAAGGCAGCGTCAGTATTAGGGCAAACGGGGGAAATGCGTAGGCCCTGAACTTGCTCCAATCCAGGGTGAAGGCATCTGTGAATGATGCCTGGGGATCTGGTCTCCAACTCACATACTGATCTAGCTGATAGGTCAGTCTCGAAGCAAAGAGACCGATGTTCAGGGGTCCCCAAGTCTGGAGCAGACAAAGGAAGATTGTTGGATCCAGTATCCAGTCACTGGAGTCCAGGAAAACTCTGGATTCCCGGTCTGCTTCTGTATTGAGTACCCGTGGTATGTGTTGAGCTTTGACCAGAATGTTGTGGTTCAGACACCAGTCCCACAGGTCTTTCAACAGATGGGATAGGAGCCGGGAATGTGTCCCCCCAATTTTTTTTATATAAGTTTTTTTATATAAGTTACCGTTGTAACATTGTCCATAAGGAGTAATACTTGAGCCCTTACCCTGTCTTTGGTGAAAGACCTCATTGCTAGAGAGAGTTTTCTTTTGTTGTTTTGACTGGAACTGTCCCTGTTGAAATGACTGTGCTCTTCCCCTTCCTCTCGGTGGGAAGGTTGAGCTTGCTGCATGCACTTGGTCGGTAAAACCGGCCTCTGAAGGACCCGCGGTATTGGTTGCCGCCACCTCGGTTAGCTCGGTAGGTAGAGCATCGGACTTAAGTGCAGGAGGTCGCAGGTTCAAACCCCGGCCGGACCAACACTCAGGGTCTTAAAATAATTGAGGAGAAGTTGCTGCCTTTGTCTTTCTCCATCTGGAAATGGTAAGATATTCGCGTCCTCTTGGATAACGACGTAAAATCGGAGGTCCCGTCTCTCTACACTTCACTCACTAACCTGTATTAGAGGGACGTTAAAGAACCCACACCACTGTTCGCATAAGAGTAGGGAATGATTCCCGGTGTGTGTGGCTAGGCCTTACTACTAACAGGATAGTAACGAGGTCTTGGGGTCAGGGATCAGCGTCAGTTTTGGGGCTATTTTGGGATCAGGGATCAGGATTTAGACTCAGGATCCGGATCAAATGTTTTTAACCTGGGATCAAAGGTTTTACAACTGGGATCGGGATCAATGATTTACAGGGCAGTTGCGTGCCTTACATGAAACATGTAATATATATCAGATATGTTGACAGTATTGTCAGCCAATCAAAATCCTCTCTTTTGATTGGTCTAAATCAACCCTCACACAATAGATATTTTCAGAGCTAGACCGGCTGGTCCAATCACATTACGCCTCTGAGATATGCTTGTTGTTAGTTGTCATTTGATATTTGAGCACGCATTGCCTGGAATTCTTGTGGTACCTTGTATTGCTTATTACCATTATTACTGTTATAAKTKCTTTGATTCTTTTGTGCCCACCGGTGAGTATTTTTGTTTWTAATATTTATAAATGCTTAGACTTTTTAAAGTTTATCACCACGACTGAAACATTTCTCGACCTAGATCATGTTCTCCGTCGCTTTCTCGCTAACAACGGTAAATATTTACACATAACAGTCACGGATTTATTATARCTATTAGTCGGTTAAGTATCTGAACGAATTAAGCACRCATTGYTCAGGTCATTATAGTTGTTGTGTTGKCACAAGATTCCAGTAAACATGCYCGTGCCTTCTCTATTGTAAATTAATAGCAACTTTGCGCGCGTGTCTCTGTCCTCTGATATAAACACGGTGGGAGTTGAAAAACATGAGAGAAGCAAGCCTCTTGAAGACGTTTTATATTTCTTTTATAGAATTGTTCTGCGTTTCTCGAGCGAAAAAAAAATTTTGCCGGTAAGACTTGTCTTTGTCCTCTGATAAAAGCACGGTCGTCAGCCAACCAAAGGCAGAGCGCGCGTTATATATTTAAGAAATATAAAACGGCGCGCGTGTCTCTGTCCTCTGATATAAACACGGTGGGAGTTCGGAAAACACGAGAGAAGCAAGCTTAGGAACACGAGCGTAGCGAGTGTTTCTCTTGCTTCTCGAGTGTTTTTCAACTCC